TTAGTCTATTTTCTCACTGGTTAGTTCCTTCAAAAGCTTCAATTTCATTCAATTTGCCTTTAGTCCAGATCAGGCATGCAACCATCCCAAGCTAGGGCTCGCTGATCGGCAGCGAACATGTTCAGTAACAAACCGTTCAGTGTCGATCAGCGATTCCTAGTTTGGAATTGTTGCATGCCTAGACAAGACATAAATATACAGGGTGATAGAGAAATCCGAGCACTTTCAGAATATATAATTATTATTTTTAAAATGTACGTTTATATGATGATATATTAAAAAAATCGAGTGCAACTGTTTTTTTCCAGGCGGATATACTCTAACTATATGAACGACGATACGGACGGTTTTTTCGCATTTTAAACGAGGCGAGAAACAATGTCTGTTATATAAGGTACTTTATTTCTTAAAGTAGACTATGCATGGAAGGAAGAGAAGATATTTGTCGTATGGGAAATTTCAGAAGATCAGCCCTTTTTTTTCTCTAAAAGTTTCATAAAAAACCAACGTTCTTGAAGAATATTTTTCCATAGAGCAACGTGACTCACTCTTAACTATCGAATGATGAAAATCGACTGTTTCTATCTTGTTTTCATCAAAAGTTATTCAGGAAATATCCCATTCTTTTTTAAAATGGATGGTAGTTTATCTGATACATCTGCTACTTCACTTTATAAAGAACCAGTGCATTAGACTTTATCTAACGCTTTTGAATAATCAAAGAATACAAAGATAGCTGAATTTATACATACAGAATATCGACCAGGTCTCCATCAAGGTGCCTTGGATTAATCCTGTTCAAAAAAATATTAATAACGTATGTTTTTTTATATGAATTGCTTGGAAAGAAGAATTCTCTCAAGAATTTTTGATATGACATATAATAAATTTATTATCCCATAATTCTTAGAAAGTGTACTATCGCCATCGTTTATCAAAATATAAATGACTATTAATTCTCGTACATTGAGTTTATTCGAAAACAGGTTACTTTTTTACAATGACAAAAAGCACACTACATACGATAATCTATACATGAAGAAAATTATTTTGAAGAAGTCTGATAATATCATTGATTGTTTATCATATACCTACTGCTTTTAAATTTTCATCTATTATCATATTTCTAGCAACAGAATGAAAATATATTAATTGACCATTAAAATCGAATTTATCAACTTGCTTGCAAATAGCATTTCGTCTATTCGTACTACCTCGTTTGCATGTACAAAATTCTGAAGTGATTTTTTTATCTGTTTCAATTGATTGATTTTTATCCTCATTTTCTAATCTATTATAATAGTTTTTATCTAATAATACTTGTGATAGAACTAATTTAACACCTTTGACTAATTTAAACCACTCTAAGTCGATATCAATGGCTTTCTCGTCTTGCAGTCCACCAGTCGAATTGTAATGTAATATATGCTTGTCAAATTTATAACAAAGATGATGAATAGAGGATGTCGATATCGATTGTGTATCTTTCAAATTTTCTACAAATAATTTTTGACTATTAATATCACTGTCACTGACAGCATGCTTATTTGTTGTATCCATAGGAACTTTATTTTCATTATTCACATACTCATTGCTTTGTGGTCTGCTTAATAACTGTTTATGATGTCGTGACTTATCATCAATCTTGTTGGTTTTTATATGTTGTTTTACTTTATTTTCAAAAAAGTTATTATCACCACTGCCATCACTTGATCTTTGTCTAAATAGACGTTGCTTATGTAAATAATCAAAATTTTTAAGCAGTTCTGTTTCATCATCATCTGAACTGTACAGTTCTTCAATACCACGATAAGACGACGCTAATGACATTTGTTTTGGTACTAAATGAATGAAAAAAAAAAGAACGTTGAAAGTGAATAAGATTAACTTCTTTTATTACAAAAGAAAAATATCAACAAAAAATAGGACTTTATTCAGTAACGAGAGAACGTTTTCAAATGTCCACTCACGTTTTTAGCTACAGTTTTTTTATAGATAATTTGTGATGAATAAAAGAACAGTTTAGTTACCTACTTAGGCTGATCGACCCTTATTGAATATTTTTACAAAATTGTGCTCTCTTGAGATCTATCGCGAAACTTTCAGGTTAAAAAAACTCCGATTGTACTACTATCCGTTTCACAATACAGTGGGCATGGCTATTTTTTCAATAACGTTTTACAGAAGCGTCCTAAAAATATGCGTTTTTACCGTTGGAAAGCCAAGACCTAACTGTATTGAAGTAGCAGTGACGTCTGTTAAAACTACCATCTGTAGATCGTGTACCACATTCCTTTGGAAAGAGCAGATTCCCTAGCTAAGAATAAAAAACATTTTTTTCAACTCCCAGAGGGGGAATCGAATGTCCAAGCTCTAAATTACAAATTCACGAAAGGCCGAGATCTCCATTTAACAACGATCAAGTATAGCTCGCCAGTTTGGTATCTACAACTAGAACACATCTATTCAAAATTAATCCCTTATCCTAGCAGAGACCATTTATGTTGTTTTTCTGATAGAGGGTAAAGTTTTGAAAAAATATCGGTACGAACTCGATCCACTCCATTTTTTCATGTTGTTAACGAATACTGTATTCATTTTGTCATGAAAAGTTGTATTGGTGATGAAGTTTGACAGATATTAGTTACTATGACCCTATTTATGATAATAGTTAATCTAACGCTTTTTGCTTGAATAACTTAAGTGATTGAAAATTTTTAAAATAGATAAAAGTAAGTAGAATTCTGTTCTCTGTTTTCATTTTTTTTATCAGGTACAATTTATGGTGAACTTCAAACAGACCGTTAAGAAAATGAAAACAAAGATCAGAACGGTATTTATAAATGTAAAAAAGCTGAAATAGAGTCAGACAAAGTTAACGAGTTATCATGACCTGCGTCGTACATACTTAACTCCTTCACAGACCAGACGAGCATGATCTTCTATTATATTTTCGAACATCGAACATCTCTTTTAAAAAAGTCATTCCAATCCTTCCTATAGGACGACTGACCTGAAACTGACCTTCTATGCACAGTGCCCTTTTAATCTAGAGTGAGGTAGAGTCATATGATCTACAAATTTGTAGCAAATTAAGAAAATGTGATTTTACTAATACTTCTTTTTCGTTTTGTTACTGGGAAACGTTTAAAAATACTTTTAAGTTCATGAAAGACTTTAGATGAGGACTCGTAATGAACCAGAACTAAAGTTCATACTGAACGTTCTTCGATAGTAAAAAAAATTATCTTTTAAAACGAACTTTGTAAGAATTTGACGTTTCTATTCTTTTAAATCATATTCTGGGTAAGAAATCTTGAAAAATACACTCCTTGAAAAACGCAAAGTTGATGAGTATCGAAAAAATTCAACATTTCATTACTTTGCACTTACTCTACTTAAGTGAATATTTTATTTGAGTTCAGTACCGAATACTGACGACGGAACCTTTCCAGATGTCCACCCGCTTTTCTAACGAAATGCGGTAGTTTATAGGTAATCGACCATGCTGATTCCGAATATGATAGCCGTTTTTGCCCTTAGGCCTTTCCTAACCGGTTTCTGAAAAAGCAGTGTTCCAGAAACCTCGAAAAATCCCTAAGAGTATTTCTAAATAAGTCACGACTGTGACTTATTTAGAGTAAGTAAATAAGACAAAAACGACTATCATATTCGGAATCGGCATGGTCGATTACTAGTAAACTACCGCATTTCGTTAGAAAAGCAGTCGGACACTTAGAAAGGTTCCCTCGTGAGTATGATAAGCTAGGTGCGAGTCAATCTGATCGCAGTACCCTCATTTAGAGAGCTTGAATGGGACCACTCCGGGGCACATTGACAGTCGGCTCTTGTAAACCTATCTCCTTTTCTGCCTCCAGAGTTAAAATGATTTTTCATACGTCATTCAAGCCGTTAAGTGACAAGGAAGAAAGTATGTATAGCATTGTTGTATCATCGTCAAGAAAAATCGACTTTGCTGCGAAAAATCGGAATTTTGCCTCCGATTCGCAGTTTCTCCGAATATGATATTTCCATTGTGTAAAAGGTGAGTACTGATGGAGAAAATTGCAAATTAAGGACAGAATTCCGATTTTTCGCAGCAAAATCGACTATTCTTAGCGATGGAACAACATTGCTATATATACTTTTGTGGAACTCCCTTACTGTCTTCGAAGAAGAGGAAGTAACAGTTTTATATCCCAAAACCGCTGTTTTTAAGATAAATTTGCCCCGCCTCTCCCTGGAGGACACAACCTGTTCAAATACCGCATACAACCTCTTAACGTCACTAGACGTCTCAGTATTGGGAGTTTCACCGTTTAGCACTTTTAGGCGCTATCCTACCAAGGTTTTTTTCTTGTCACTTAACGGCTTGAATGACGTATGAAAAATCATTTTAACTCTGGAGGCAAAAAAGGAGATAGGTTTACAAGAGCCGACTGTCAATGTGCTCCGGAGTGGTCCCATTCAAGCTCTCTAAATGAGAGTGCTGCGATCAAATTGACTCGCACCTAGTTTGTCATACTCGGTATTCGGTACTGAACTCAAATAAAATATTCACTTAAGTAGAGTAAGTGCAAAGTAATGAAATGTTGAATTTTTTCGATGCTCATCAACTTTGCGTTTTTCAAGGAGTGACTTGTATTTTTCAAGATTTCTTACCCAGAATATGGTTTAAAAGAATAGAAACGTCAAATTCTTACAAAGTTCGGCGAGCTCTATCGAACCATGCATGAATATATCGAAAATGTTTTCTGTCCCCTTTTACATTTCCGACATCTTAACATTATTCAAAAAATATCGGCTGGCACAATTTTTTTATAGACTACACCTACTCACCTGTTTGGCTAGAACAGAATCAAGCCTTAAAAATATAAAAGATAATGCTCAGTTTACTTTCCTGTTACGTTCTTTGAGTAACTAAATGAAAAACAAAAAAGTAGACTGTTAATCATGCTATTTGTACTTAGAATAAATCAAGAAATATTAGGTTATAAAAAGGCGTCAAATAAAAGCTTTAATTTTAGCACGTATTAATCAACGATATAGAATATTTTCTCTGTCAGACTGAACATGTTTTTTACACAGAAATTTCTCATACTACCACGATGTATTTGATACATTTATTCTAACCTTCTATAGATCAATAAACTGATGAATCTGACTTTAGACAGCTAATAATGTAAACTTATATATTTATCAGAAATAAATATGGAAGATTCAAATGTGTAAAACCATCAATCTAATAGAAAAAACAGACAGGTCATTACAGAATAACCATCAATTATATGTTAATGTGGGTGTTCTTGTGGTACTTTTTTCTGATGTGAATCCTAACATAGAGAAATCAGCAAACAAGAAAAAGTTATGTCCATTTGTCGTTCACGATGTAAATATACTCAAAAATATCTGGGGCACCCACTGAAAAAAAATTTTCAGAATTAGGCGGGATCCCGCGGGATTGTGCCCCGTTAGAGGTGCAAGATCCCGAAGGGAAAAACCTGACGGAAGTTCAGAGAATTCCCAGTAGATTTTTCCTCGCGAGATCTCGCAAGGTAAAATCTACCGGGAATTCTCTGAACTCACGCCAGGTTTTTCTCTCCAGGATCCCGCCGTCTTTCTTCTCGCGGGATCCCGTCAAATTTTGATTATAAAACAAAAAGTAATTTTTCGCCTGTGTCTCTGATCTTGCGAAGTGCCTCTGTCTTTTTGGAGTTTCGATCCTAGGACGTTCAGACTTCAAGACGAAGACTTACCTAATTGAATCATCGCGCTTATTTTAAACTGGTGTAAAGTATCTATTTATATTAGAACGAAGTTTGATAATGAAATTACTTGCACTCTGATCTAATTACTAATTAAATGATTTCAGTAATTAAGTGTAAATGAGCGTATTCAAGTGACTTGCACTTGATTTTATGCATCTTTTTCAGTAGTTTTATTTTTTCACAGACATCACGTTCTCCTCCATTTTTTTATGTAGAATGCGTCTTCGATCTATTTTATTATTTAAAAGTCACAGTAGACACTGAGGACTGTAGAATTCCACTTGGAGAAGTGAACCGAACTCCTAGAAATGGATTACATCCGTTTTGCTAATTCTCGAATGTTCAAGTGTTCAACCATCGCGGCTATAGTTAAAAAACTGTATTCGAAACGATTTATTCATTTATTCGGGTTCATTTTTTTTGTGTTCTGC